AAAAAAAAAAAAAAAGGAAAAAAGAAAAAGAAAAGAAAATACACCACAAATCGATCAACGCCAGAAGCCCACGCATTTATCACATCTTGGCTCTCCTCTTCTAATGCTCCATGATCTCGTTTAGCTGCACCTCCTGCTCATCAACCGCAAGCAGAGGCTCTAAGACTTTGGTTGGCCGCAAGTCGATACTGATGAAAGGTACTTCGTTTTTTTGCCACTGGTAGCTGCGAAACGCTTGATGCGTTTCCGCGCCAGGCTGATGACATATACCTTGTTCTGAATGGCCACCGCGTGTCTCCAAAACTGATCATGTGCCTCAATGGCAGCGAATCTTGCGTCAGATGCTGTTGGGTATTCGATGAGCTGCACTCTATCGATTCCGCCGTTCATGTTCCCGGTCTCCGTCCTCCACTTGAAAGTAAGCCCTGAATTGGCCGTTACCGACACAGTCAGGATGGCCTTATGGCCTGGATCAGTTGCCTGCGCTCGGCTAGACTCAGACGTCTATTTTTTCATTCGCTTTGACGACTGGTTGTTGTTGTCGTCAGCCTTGCGCTTCTTGCCCTTGGTGGTTGTTGAGTCGCTGGTTCTAGTAGCTATAGGTTTCCAAATTCCTGCTTGTACACCGGTTTCGAAAATGGTGGGACAAGGAGGCTTCGGAATCTTCTCATCGGTGGGAAGTTTATTCTTAGAGTCCTATTCAAAGAATACTTCCATCATGAAATAGTTCTTCATTCGGTCGGTAATGATATTGGCCTTTGGGTATAAAACTGATACCTAGCCATCAAAGGAATGGCGTTCTCTTAAGGTTAAACCATCTATTCATTGAGGATTGATGAATTGAAAGTGTTGATTCAAGGCTGACGACGTAAGCCTTGTTCTGGATGCTTGGGGTTTCTCGCCAAAACTTATCATGCACCTCGATTGCTGCAAACCTGGTCTCTGAGAGTGTGCTGAACTCGGTAAGTTCCACCTTAATGACACCGCCAGCTATGTGTCCGGCTGAGGTCTTCCAACTGAAAACCATTCCTGATTTGGGTGTAACAGATACAGTGAGAATGGCTTCGTTGCTAGTATCTGCCGCCTGGGTTCGAGTTGCACTTGACTTCCCTGAATCGTCTTGGTGTAGACGCTTTGCTGTCTGGCTCAAGTCGTCGTTGGCTTTGCGCTTTTTCCCCTTTGGTGCCATGGCTTCTGTGCTTTCTTTCCATGTCTCCACCTGGACCCCGGTTTCGTAGATAGTGGGACGGGGAGGAGCTTTCGGGACTTTATCGTCGATAGGGACTGTACTCTGGGAATCCTATTCGTAGAATACCTCCATCATCAGATAACTCCGCATATAATCGGTAATCTTATCAGCTCTTGGGTATAGGATTGCCGTAAGATCATTGAAAGAGTGGCGCTCTCTTAGACTCATATCGTCTTCTTTCAGGATAGTTCTTGTAGTAGCCATTATCGCTTGAACGGCGCAGGGGGGCGTGAGAGAGTAAGACGACGCAAGGAAGCAAGACGGCACAGGCGAGGGAGATGGTGCAAATGAAGAAGGTGGCGAAATCGAGGATGATGGCGCAAATGAGGAATACGGCTCGAATGAGGGATACTGGTTGCCATGCGCTCATGCGCATCCTGTGAAGCCCCAAGTTGGAGCTGGCTCTCAAGGGAAACCGGAATAGCAAGCCGCGCAGTTGCAAAGTTGCGAGGACGATCCTCGTCGTCGATGCGGGGGTAGGTAGTTGATCCTCTGTTCGCCCACTTTTTGATAATGCAGCGGACGTGGAAGACGGCGAGACAGGAGTTGTAAATTCTGATGCGGTCATACTCCATGGTGTCAAAGTGGACCAGGATATCCGCGCGGATGCTCCTTGGAGACTTCCCGTTTGCAAGGGTGACGTATCTTGGGCCAACGCCCGAATTGTTCCTGTCACGCCAGGCCCAGCCAACAGTTCCATCCTCGTACTGGAGACTGATGCCGAAAAAGACAGGCTAGCCTGCTCGTCGAGCAGCCGGGACTTGTCCGTCTCGAGTTCTCCCTGCGGGAAGAGGATGGTCCTGCGACAGGAAGCCGACCTGGACGCGAGATTCTTCGAACTTTTGTTCGACGAGGGGCGCTGGATGACCGGCATCCTGGGAGGTATCCCAACCATTGTAGTTTAGCATCGAAAGGAGGTCCCTCATAGTGACGGGTTGTCCGGTACGGCCTGAAAGAGAGTGTTAAATCTGGGTCAGGCAGAGGATCTCCTGTGCCGTCCTCCAGCTGGCAGGGCGCTCTTATTGAATAACCGATCGACCTGGGATGGGAGGAAGGATGATATGAGAAGGAAGACGTTAGAAGTTGACAAAGAAAATGAATAAAGTGTCGACTATAACACGGTAGCAATGTCTATGTGCTGGATAGCTAATTGATAGAGTGGTGCTGGAAAGGGCAAAGAGTCAACACAGAAGACGTGAGGGTTAAAGTGTCAGAAGCTGAAGCTACAGAAGGCAAGCTTCTCGTAATTCCCAAGTCGTTACGTGGGAACTGAAAGCTTCCTATGCCCTAACTAGGGCTTAAGGATATCTAGAATGTTGGCAGTGACGGGCAGTGACAGGAACTCAGGTGAACCCGAAAACAAAAATAGAAGAATTATCTTCTGAAGCTTAGGCTACTATCATAAAGCAGGCTAAATGCTAGTCTAAGCTAGCATAAATCAAGTAAACTATTTCGTCTCTTATGCTTTCGGGGGCTTTTGATACTCTAAGGGACAGCAAAGTACTGATGTGCCGATCCTTGTTGATTGTGCGTCTGCGAGCTATTACCTCTGTGTTGGAATGACCTCCAGTAGAGCGGGTATCAGAAGCTGGCGAGTACTTGACGAGTCGAGCCGCGGATCGTGATGGCACATGAGAGGAGCAAGGTGCCTTTGTAGTTCGTCTTGGTACAGCGAGACCCTATTGTCGATGTCGGTTTTAATGCATGTCAAATTTGTGATGAGTAGGTAGGTAATAGTTGATATATATATGCATGCCTACCTTATGTTTGTTGAAATCCGATTCTATAGTGAATATTGGTGATAATTGGGAAAGTTTGTGTTTGGGGTGCCCTTAAAACGGTGAAGCCTGTTTTACGCGACAAATCTGTGTGTTTTCGATGTGATCCATGCCAGCTCGGGCGTATCAGAAAGGACGCATCCAGGGTGTGATGTGTTGGTTGGAACTACATCACGAATTGCGCCTGCTTTCTTCCCTTTGGTATTTGTTGTTTTTGTTTTTGTTTGCCTGGGCTGCTCGCCGAATCCGCACGTGTGTGTAGCAGATTGCTGCTGCTCATCAACTTCACAAATAAGGTATCTAGCTGGTTGTCTCAAGTCCTCGAGCATTGCCCTCACTTCTATCACCGTTGTGTCACCATCATTGCCCTTCATCGTTTCATCCATCGTTAGCCCTGTCGTGTTGAATTCCTTCCAGGTGGCGGGGAGATTGCTGTTCGATTGCAGGAATTCTCGAGTGAAAGCAACAAACACACTGATGTATGGAAGAAAATTTGTTGCAGTAAGCTGTCAAACGACTTGCTGATCTCGCCTTGCACCAACTGACAAGCGTCCAGTCCCCGACTTGTATTGCGGAGTGACGGTAAGAATGATATTGAGCTGTGTCACGTCGTGGAGGTGAGCAGTTTCCATTCCTGAAAATTAAATGCTGCCATGATAGACTGTCCCAGAAATGTCCATTTCGAAAAGAGGACGAACTGGTGAGGCTTCTTCGTGCGCTGGTCAATGGTCGGAGACCCCGAGCAGCGGATGCTGAATGGATCTTGATTCGCCTTTCCTATTTAACTTTTGACAAGAACATTCTCACAGAGAATATTCCCCAAGGCGGACTCAACAGACCAGCAAACTTTTGATTCACCATCTGTCCAGAAAACGGCTGGCCGACAAATCGTTAGCATGGGGTGAACGTCATTTACAAATGCCGGCGGCTTCGGCACTGATGACGCATTTGCACCTTGCGGAAAGACCTATAGAGCACAAACAATAGCTATTCTTATGTTAAATCATGCTGACAATTGAGAATGCTTCTTAACATCGTCCCCCCAAAGGAGTGGCTGGGTCTACTGTAACAAGCGTCTTGTCAGAAAGCACAAAACCAGAGACAGTTTATCTACGTTGCTGAGTTTTGAAAGACATGCTATGCTGCAAAAAGGTACAACACAAGATAACAAAGTATGAAGAGTTGTTCATGAAGATTGTAGGCTGAGGGGGAAAACTGCTTGCTGTTGTTGACCGAGACAAACGCTGATCCAGATTAACATATAACGCAAACTATTTCGTCTCTGATCGCATGGTGGTCATGTTTCCTTGATAAGAAACAGAGAACATATGCAGTCGAGTCATTCTCGATATTCACTTCGTCAAAAACATGATGATGTTCCGGAGTGTGCTGTTGTTCACCATACCCAGACAAAAGATCAATTCTGAACAAACAAGCTGAGCTTCGGCTTATCAGCATTGACCTTGACTTGCCGTCAGATCAGCGCGCGGAATTTTCCGTTTCAACATTTCTTATCATTCAGAGGTGGTGCTCTTCATAAAATACAGCAATGACCATCGGGCATGTTACGAAGTTACCGGCCCAAAGGATGTCAAAGTGTTAGCGCACGTGCTAGCGATCATGTCTAAATTAGTCTTGGGCAGGAATCACATCATCACGGCCTTTACGCTTTCTTAAATATATCCTAGCGAGAAGAGTCGAGACCTTCTGTTCATCAAGACGTTGATCATGTGGAGTAAACTGACTCGAGTCACGTATTTCGTTTAGCTGGAGGCACCATGGCTCATGGCTCATGGCTACAGGGATCATCCGTCGGGCCCAAGGTAAGGGATCAGAGGTGTCTCACTCACGTGCTTTTTCGAATCGATGCAAGTCAGATTCGAGTCCGAAGAAGCAAAATTCTCAATTGTTTCAAGTTAAAATCTTTCTGATTGTCGTTTTCGACGTGGACATACGATCCGAAAAAAGGAAACGCACATCTGCCGTGCTGTAAACTGGGATAGCCTAGCGACCCAAAAATTCTAAATTTTATTGCCAGTGGGTCAATGAAGCGTGATGGGATCTTTTGTTTTTGTCCAAGAAGCTACCTAAATTAACCAATTGATGGAAAAGACGCGACGGACGGAACGTGGGAAAGCCGTTGACCCTCAACGGCTTCTTGATCAACATTCCATTCAACAACAAAAGATGTTGCAGAGCCTAGCTCAATTGGAGATGGTCCATCAGTTGAGGCAGAAGATAATACAGTCGGTTAAGCTGATAAGAGAATCACCATTCCCAAAGCGATGGTCTTCGCCCGTGTTCCCGTTTTCCACCTGCGGCGGTGGACGTTGTAGGTTTCATGGGGTACAGTTTAGCGCTGTAACTACGTTTACAGTAACGGTTGTATTGGGTAATAATGTAACCCGACGATAACCCAACGCTACCTACGTAAAGCCCGAGCGTCGGAAAGTAATGGATTGGGTTCCGTTGAAGAATTGGCACTGACATTGGCGCCCATTGGCTTTGGCTTTGGCTTTGGCTTTGACGTTGTCGTTGACGTTGACGCTGGCAGTGACAGACAGCAGCGGAGACTGCGGAATTAAATATGTGCCCCGTACGTCATTTAATTGATGGGCATTGACTCTGGAAATCTTGTTAAGTTCGTTAGTTCTTACGGTCGTTGGAAATAATACACGGCACAGAGACGCTTGCCCAGAATTATCGTCTCCCAAAAACAGGTACACGAACACCGCATTCTGAATGATCAGCAGTCAGATTTGGACCGATTCGATTATGCATCGTGATCTGACAGGCATTAGATAACCATCCCCTGTCGATGTAACTCAGCTGGTTAGCCAACGCCAAAAAAGAGCCCCTCAGCCACTGCAACGACTCCACGTTAGGGTCCTTTTCTTTTTGTCCCTCTCTCTACTTGACTAGCGGTCCGCTAAATTAGGTCCCTAGACACTACTGAAATCCCAGGAGAACCTATCAAAATAGATGACGCAGGGATCGTCGATCTCAGTATTTCTCCCCTTTCATCGGGATCGGGACCTGAGCGCTGGGTTGAGTTGGAGGAGGACAAAAAAGAAGGGCCATACTCTAAGCCATACAGCGCCAAACAATAAGTCGTCATGGATGGGTAATTAAATTGCAAAAAAATCGTGATCTGCAGTTTTTATAATATCTCGTAAACTGCACCCTTGTTCCAAATTCCAGTCCAATTCTGGTCAAAACGGTCATTCAAAGGTGATCAATCATTCCCAGCGATCCATAGGGCAATGCCGCGCCTCCACTGGATACCCCATTCGGTACAACGCCCTGTCCGTTGGTTTCCCATTAAAGACGTGAGTTGCCGTTTATGTGCCTGTCATATTGCTCCAAAAGTCTCTGCGTCATTAGACAGAGTTCAAGGCCTTGTTTTCTTCGTAAATCCTCCATTGGGCTGACATACCGAATCTTGTCAAAATGCAGACTCTCAACCTCGTTGAAGACGACGATATGGATTCTTGTCCACCTCCCATCCCCATTCGCTCACAAACCCCAAGGCGACAAGTCAGAATGAAACAAAGCAAACAGAGGTATGTTGGGTCGTGTCTCAGCTCCAGCCTCGCTAGGACAGGGCCCTATACGAGTCCGTCTTTAAGCTAACAAGTCAGTTTTGAGACACAAGATTTAGGCGATGGAAAAGCCGATTTCGACCCTGGACTGTTACAGCAGCCATCGTCAGCACCCACGCAGGATCAGAAGCAGCAGCAGCATCATAGCCAGAGCCAGAACCACAACCACAACGGCCATTCTCATACTCACACTCACACTCACACTCAGCATGCATCTACTACACCAGCTCCACCATCATCTTCTGCAACATCTCAAAGTGCAATGTCTTACCGATCTCACGACAATGAAGTCTGGTCTCAAAGAGATAGAGATACTTCCTCAATCTCTTCCGTCTATGTACCTACCTATCTCCCCGCGCTTCAAGCCAAGGGCGCTGGCGCAGAAGGCGATGGCCTTGAACCATTGACTGAAGAGGAGTATGACCCTTCTTCATTCGATCTCGTCGTGCCTGCGCACGCCATGGGAAAACAGTATAGTCTTGAGAATCAATCCGAGATGCTGTTTTCCGCCAAGCATTTAACAATCATTTTTGACGACCCCGTGCTACTACAGCGATTCACAAACTTTTTGTCTTCGTCGCGACCGCGTTCAATGCCTCTTTTGACTTATTATCTTGACACCCTCAAGGCAATGAAGGCAATTAATTACGCCAATTCCTTGACTGCGTCTTTGCAGGAAATTGATGGTCACGATTTTACCATGGATCCTGTTACCAATACTGTCAACAATGCTCTTCAAAAGAGAGCGACTGATGCATTCCAAGCAATGGTCAACCATGATTTACCAGCTTACATCACACACACTTACATCCAGACCGTCAGCATCACCATCAAGCGAAGAATAACGGACACTTTGGCACCTCAATTGCGCGAGCTTTCAGAGGGTTTGGCAGAGGTTTTCTGTCTGACAGATCCTTCGCGACCCGACAACCCAATTGTGTTCGCCAGTGAGGGTAAGTTCAGCCATGATGAGATTAAATGACCAACACTAACAAATGCAGAATTCCACCGCACAACGCAGTATGGTATGGACTACGTTCTCGGTCGCAACTGTCGCTTCCTTCAAGGTCCCAAGACAAACCCGTACAGTGTACAGAGACTTCGAGATAAGCTCGCCGCCGGCCAAGATCACTGCGAGACGTTCCTCAATTACCGTCGTGACGGCTCACCTTTCATGAACCTTCTCATGGTGTCCCCTCTCTACGACTCACGGGGTGTTGTTCGCTACCATCTTGGTGCTCAAGTCGATGTGTCAGGTCTTGTGACGGATTGTTCAGGTCTTGACTCACTATCCAAGCTTCTCAACCGTGAAAACCCTGAAAATGAGCGTTACCCGGGTGAGCATGCTCAGGAGCAGAAGCAGGATAAGAAGGATGAGTTCAGAGATTTGGCAGAGATGTTTGATCTCACTGAACTCAAGACTGTCCGTGAATCAGGCGGTGCTTTCCACAGGACTCGTCAGCAGGATTTGAGACAGACTGACCAAGCACCCGCGAACTGGAACAAGCCGAGATTTGTCTTTGAGGATGATGCCACCATCAACCGACGCTTGTCTGACCCCATTCTTCAGGATACAGCTGCGATGAGCTTTGGTGGTCGTCTCAGCGGTGTTTACAAGCACTACCTCCTCGTCCGCCCATTCCCCAGTCTCCGAATTCTCTTCGCCTCACCATCTCTCCGCGTCCCAGGAATGCTTCAAAGTCCATTCCTCTCTCGCATCGGCGGCTCCGACCGCGTCCGCGAGACTCTCACCCAAGCATTTGCCGGTGGAAACGGTCTCACTGCCAAAATCCGCTGGTTGTCCAAAACGGATATGCCGACCAAGTCCTACGGCGAAGGCGGCCAAGCACCTCCCTCCAACCCTGGCCGTAACCGCTGGATCCACTGCACACCACTCCTGGGATCTAACGGGGCTGTTGGTGTGTGGATGGTTGTTTTGATTGATGATGAGTCTGATGAGGCGTTTATTCGGAACATGAGGAGGGAGGCACCTGCTGTGGCGCCTGCGCCGAGACCCAAGTCGAGGATTGAGCAGCTTACGGGGGATGATGACAGGATGAGTTTGAGCAGTTTTGCAGCACAGCACCGGGCGTAACGAAGGGATTGGGAGGTCATTTGCTCTGGGAGTACGGGTCATGATGAGGGTGGTCTACATATTTGTAATTAGTGATACCTCTTTACGCAATAATACCGTTAATACCAATGAACGAGAAGAGTCCATAAAAGCGTTTACCCTCCATATCGTGACAAGAGGCTACCGTGACGAGATCCACATGAGACAAGACATCACATGTGTCAGTTACATACAAAGAGAAGTGCTTTGACGTATATGAGTATCAACTAATGTCTTCATCGGCTCGGGCCGAGCTTGGTTTCCGCTTAATGCCACGTTTATGGGCGTTGTTAGGTCAAATAACGTTTGTCTAGTACGAGTCAATGTCTGAGGATGGTGAGGAGTGGGTGCTGGTTTGACGTATCCCATGAGGGCTGTTTGTCACTATCAGCCGCTGACAGAGGCAACGCTATTTTGACTCCATTTTACTATGTAATAGATATGACGACGTCTTAAGAAACCAGATGAACTTGCTCTTACTCTGAGAAGATGGTGTATCAGCCTGGAGGTTTCTTTTGATAACTCGTGACAGTTGAGTGTAACCGACGTGCGTAATGCGTTCAGTAAGAGCAAGAATGATTCCTCATGAAAGGCGTGCTTGACACTGAACCTATTTATAACCCACCGATTACAATTATCCAGCTTCATATCGATTGATTACATGCTCGAGTTGCCTTTTGCTTTGTCTCTACGCCCGCTTACTCTCCGCCCACGTCAACTCCTCGCAGCAACCAATCATCTCAACCACAATTACAAATTTGAGAAAGAATAAGGTTGAGTAAAGTGCAGCGCAGAAGGTGTTCCAGCCACCCAGAGTAGTGCGCCAAGCCATGTCAGAGTAGAGTTTCATTCAACATGTTGGCGTTTCACCATCGTCCCTATGTATCAGGATTGCGACATAATCCCCGCCTATGACGGCTTGGCAGGGTACCCTTGGTGTTGCGAACCAAAATTATAAGAACATCATTTCTTCACAGATTGTTGTAGAAAAAATCAACTTTTCTCTAGATCTTTACCAAACTCAAGATGTACTCTCTTTCCATCACACCAGAGTATGAGGCTGCGAATGAGCAGTATGCCGAAGACTTTGACAAGGGAGACCTTGCCCTTCCACCATCACGGTATGTGAATGTCAACTACGAGAGGTCATTTGCTGATGATTTACCGGTAGGAAAGTCGCTATAATAGCCTGCATGGATGCCCGTCTAGATCCAGCACAAATCCTCGGAATAGAACTCGGTTCAGCACACGTTATCCGCAACGCAGGTGGTCGCGCAGCCGATGCTCTTCGCTCAATCATTATTTCACAACAACTTCTTGGCACAAGAGAGATTGTCATCATCCACCATGTACGTATTCCTCCGGCATTATTTCCGTCGCTGGGATTAACAAAACCCAGACTGACTGTGGCATGCTCACGTTCTCTGATGTTGACCTCAAAACAAAGGTCAGAAAAGACCTTGACGAGGACGTTGATCACATGGCCTTTCTGCCCTTCTCTGATTTGGAGCAGAGTGTTCGCGATGATATCAAGTTTTTGAGGAAGAGTCCTCTGGTGTTGGATGGGCCTATTACCGGGTATATTTATGATGTCAAGACTGGAAAGATTACGGTCAAGGTTCGATAGTCTATCAGTATCAGAGGATAGACTGCGGCTATGGTTATGATGAATATTTAATTTCCAAACATCCTAGAGTTAAAACTCTTACTCGTGACAGGATTGGTATAACCTGAAATACATCTTTTGGCCCAGCAGGCTTTTCTGAGGTAATGAAGCAAAGAGAGAATTAAGTGAAGAAATCAAAGAATGATTAGAAAACAACCTGGAAGTACTCCTCACTAAAATGACGGATTACAACACCACTCAACCCCAACCAGCAAGACAGTCTTAGAGAAAGAAGCGCCCTGTTCACGCTGCCCAAAGAAGATCACATCTCCTGATAAATCGGATTCGAAGTAAACCCAAGATCCAAACTCTCCCAATTCCACAACATAGCAAGATCACCCAATTCGGTGTCGGAAATTTGCTGAAAGCCCATGTCGACCTGCGGAGGCCCAGCAGTGAGATTCTGCATGTGAGATCGGTTGTTGATCTCCTCAGGCCAAGATGGTGGTGCAGTTGTTGAAGGGATTGTCTGCATATGAGGAGCAGCTGTGTACATGTAGTGTTGATATCGCGGGTCTACATTGTTGGTAGGATATGCCACGTATGAAGGTCCTTCGGTTTGGATTCTGCCTGGAGCCGCTGGTACTGGATTTGCATAGGGCTGGTAGTGGGCTTGGGCGGGAGATACTTGAGAAGGAACCGGCATAGGAGCCGGCGCAATGTGGCTTGTCTCAACACTTGGCTGCGACATAGCCGCAGCAATAGGAATGGCTCCTTGACCACCGGGAGGAGTATCATATCGTCGCTTCTTGAAAGGATCAGCAGCCTGCATCCCAGATGACGACGGAAGCTTCTTAATCAACCGTCGTAAAACATCGTAAGGAGCCTTGGCTGTGTTGGTGGCAGTTCGCAACTTCTTCAACGTGATGAAAGCTCTGGCAATAGAACCAGTGACTTCTTCACGACGTGGTACACGGCCATCCTCAGCGTGGATGATGACCGAGCATAGAAGAGCGGCTGTATCGAAGATACAGAAGGGGACGAAGTGGAAGGTGGTATCTCGAGTCCAGACGTACTCAAAGAACCGATGAACAGCATCCATTAGTTTAAGCGCGTAGTCGATTCCTGTTAATCGGAACTCGATATCCACGGCGGTCGCTGTAGATTCTCTGATGTTCTTCGCCATGTAGCCTCGGAAAGGTCCGAGTGAGATGGAGAGAGTACATGTATGCATGTAATGACGGTGCAGAGCGATCCACGGTAGGTCCTCATTAGCAGGTCCATTGGGATGGTCCATAGCATACTCTGGAGGAAAGGTCTTCATAAAGTCCTCCATAATCTTCTGGTAGTCGCGAATATCAGCGGGTTCGGTAAGAATTTTAGGACCGCCGAAACGCTTGAAGATCAGACCGACAAGTTCAGACTGGAGCTTGAGATGCAACATAGGCGAAGCTGGGTAGTCTTCTAGTGTAAGGCAGGGTAAACCGACGTCACATTCTTCACGATTGATGAGCATCGGGCGGGCGAGCAGACATGAGACGAGCCTAAAGATGTAAGTATGGGCGATAGAGTTTGGGATCTGTTCTTACCAGTCCCAGGAATCCACGATACACCAGAGTCGTCGCTTCATTTCCAACTCAAATCCCGGCAATTGATCCACGGGCTTCTTGTGGAGGTCTACCAGTGTTAGTCCCTTGTATTAACCCATATAACTGGACACTCACTAATCATCTGAGCCTCTCGGACTACAGCGCCAAGGACCTGCCAGCACTCTGCGAACCGTGCCTCGGCTTTAAACCAATAGCACGAATGCAGTAGGTATTGAACGGTATACACATGGCCATATCCTACAGGAATAGCGCTGTGAAGTTCTCTGGCAGCGTCGTGATACTTCTGAGTCAAGTCTTTGACAGATGTGCCAAGCTCGCTCTCAATTCTGCTACCTGTCTGGCTGTCGATGTGCTGGACGGAACATGCGCAGACCATGAGGAGAAGACATGTCCATTGGGCACCACAAGGCCGACCCTTAGTATAGTCATCCCACCAGCGAGCATACTCTTTGCTGAAGTGTGGTGGGTAGACGATGTAGTAGTAAAAGTTGACGACATCGAGAAAGCTTTGGATCAAGGAGTCTATAGATGTTAGATGCGACATAGTAATGAGATCGGCGATCTTACCAACGATGTGTCTCGGCGGCAGCACATCTAGTGCACGTTGGAGCTGAGCGCTATCTTTCGGATCAAGATAATATTGCTCGGAAGGCTTTGTGCTCCCTGACTGGATGGTGTAAGTAAATGCGCATCAACCCAAAGGTACAAACTCACGTCTTGATCAAGCTTGGTCAATAGGTGAAGACGACTATAGCCAATCGCTTCCAGAATGCCATCGACATCATCATCACTGTCCCCCTCCTCACCTTGCATATCGCGCTTGCGCTTAACATCCAAGGAAGCAGCCCAAGCATCGTCCCCTGAAGTAGCTTTGGAATCATCCCTGAAACGACACTGGTCAGCGACTTTGCGCTTCTGACAATTGTTGCAAGGCCATTGGCGATTGCATTTTTGCTTGCGACGATGACACTCAGTACAGGCGGAGCGCAGCAGAGCATCCGGTTGGGCCATGCTCTCTACAGAGCCCTTCCGAGAATCTTCGGGCATGATAAGCAACGGTCTTGCAGAGTGTGCGGGCGAGTGCCGGGTGTCTATGGTAGGTCACAGATATGAAGGGAGACTGGGAGAGAGGGAGAGGGAGATGGAGGTTGGTTACAGTAGAGGCGGGGCTAGATCTTGCGTTATAGCGGAGTCTAGTCATCGATCAGACTAGACTGTTTGTGGTAGCGGCGCCTGTGTCAGGGTCTTTTGGTCCTTTTTTCGGAGCTTCCAATCCATTGCATCAAAGTTTTTCCATTCATTGTCTCAGCTACAGTGACACAAGATCGTCATCAACCTGAAAGCTGAAAAATAAAGGGGCGGTCGGAGAAAAGGAACGTCTCACTGTGCTGCTTTTGCTTTGCTTCGATACGCGGTCGGCGATCGCTGTGTAAACCTGTCTCACTGCGGCTGAGGAGGATGCCATACAAAGCACGCACATGACTCGTCTTTTTCTTTTTTTCTTTTGTGAGCAAGACCAACACTAATGCATATCACCATGTTGGGTAATATCTAATTACTTAGACGACATATCACAATAAGGCTTTCCTTGGCTAAGATCGGAGATGTCTTGTCATCCTCAAGGGTTCAGCCAACACATGATCTCCCAGAATATGACAGGTAACAGGGTCCGAGATCCGATCGACCCACCCGGGACAATCTTGTTCCCTGTTTTGTCCCAGATTAGCTTTTATTCCCGGGTGGCCTGGACGAATGGTTTGCGCTTATCCTGCATGTTTCCACACTCTTCTCCCAGCAATTTCGAAAGGCGTCGGAGTGGCTGATAACCGTCCTATTTTTGCACATACAAGGCGGCCTGTATTACAAAGCAACAAGAACCTGTCGTCCCCAAGATGCATGATCATTAATCGAAAAAGATTGCAACCAGGTGTGGCTGAAGATTTCTCGTGTCTGAGTTGTGGCTGCAAGTTTCCGTACCCTGTAGCACTCCGATGTCTGATTCAGGATTGTACATATCTACAAAATTTGCACAAAATTCTGACTCAAGTTCGTATATTGATGAAAGTGGTTGTTATCTCTTTATCTGATCACCATTTGGACGGGCTCTTTACCTGGCGATGCGACCGGTACCACAGGCTAGCTTAATCAATTGCCAAGACTGGTTATGATGCGCGTCAGTAACGGAATTGCACAGCGAGTTCAATAGGAGGTTTTCTTTCACGGAACAATGAATAGGGAAGCACCTATCCCAATTGAACTAAAAACATTCCGAATCATCTAATAGTCCCATAGTTGTAACACAAAACTCATTATCCATTCTTTACTCATCCATCTCGTGTCATTTTCGTCCTCATCAGTTGTAGGACCAAGTATGCTTTCCAAAATACTAACTTCCGTCTACTGACGGATGTGTAAGTGCACCCTCTCACACGATCATGAAGCAGATGCTTGAAGGGGTTGCACGAGGCGACCCTAGACACCCTTGCTGATGGGCTTTGTCTCCGAGCGACCACGAATGATCGTGGATAAGTCCCCGAGGGGTAGAATGACGGGAAAGTCGACTGACAGAAGAAGCATCGAAGTCAACATATACCAACCGATAAACGTAACCGCCAGGAGCAAACCAGCTCCAACGTGCTGATACTTCAGAGCAAGACCGGCAGAACCTTGAGCAAGAGCGAAGAACGAAGCAGAGAGGCAGCCGACTACGAGCAACGTCAGTACTAATATGCGATAGAGTAAAAATGCGCACTTACAGCAAGGAATAAGAAGAACAAGGATAGTGAACAGGGCGATGTTTGTTCGGATACTCGCTATGGAATAAACACTGCACAAGATAGCCATGGCTACTAGGAAGAAAGAAAAGGTCGCATAGAAGGCGGGCTCGCTGAGGCCGTCGGCAGCTGTACCGGTGGTCGAGTATGTGCTGTAGGCGCCAGAGCCGGGGACGATAGTTGTACCAAAGGCGAGCCAGAAACCGCCGAACGTGAAGAAGATCGTGGATGGGAATGTATTTCCTGGCGAGACGTCAGTGAGATTATCGATAGTGGAGGGGTTTTGCTTACCGAGGATCCATTCACCTATCCCTCCTGCGATCAGGAGCAGACCGCCTATACCGAAGTAGACGCCACTAAGAACCGTCGTCAGTCGTTGACCACCACAAACGAAGTATTGAGACCTACACGTTTGCGGCAGCAGCGAACCCTCCGGCACCCTGCCATCCGAGTAACGACATGGATGCCGGGGTAGTGCATAGCAAGAATCCAGCCAAGGCTGTTCGGGTCAGTACCACACTGACAATTGATGATATCGAAACCTACCAATTGGTGTCGGATTACCAAACGTCTTGCGAAGATCCCCTTTGACTTGGTTCTGCGGCTGCAAATACAACTGCTGAAATAGCTCAGGAGATAAGGGAATGCTCATGGCTGGTTGAATATGTTCCATCTCAGCACGATCGCTTCCGAGTTTGGCGCTGGGAGTGGGAGACATGATGCAAGGATGTGAAATTCAAAGTTGCTGAGAGGTTGAGAAGATGAGACAGGATGGAGATAAGACTGGGGAATGGACAGCTTCGATCCAGTTTTATATGTATCCAGGTAGCGGAATGAACTTCCCTTTACCCCGGATTGTCGGGGGAATCTGGGGGTGGAGATATGTGGATGTATCTGAGTCTGGAGTGTATACGAGATCTGGGGATGGGTAGCAGGCGGGACTGTCGATCGACTAACAAGTGAGCTCGGCAATGGAAAGCCGGATCTTGAGGCGGTCTTGTTGAATAGTCCGTGCGAGCACACATCGATGACAGAAGTAGAGAAGGGAAATAGTTACCCGGAAAAGCAGATGTGCCATGGCAATATCGAAGTACTGGTCAACGCATTATTCCAAAACCGACCCGTTGTGCCGTTCTTCAGGCGGTTTCTCATTGTGAAGCTCATGATCTTTTGTTCAGTCAATGCTTGGAGTTCAATGTCCAGGCCACGTCTCCTCCGGACGAACGGCTCGTCCGTCGATCAAGTCTCAATTGATCCATCCTCAACAATTCGAATACAGGATCCATGTCAACAATCCCCGGACCCTGACGCTCCCAGCGGTGATGTTGTAGCGAGCTAGTGTCGAAAAGGAATGAATGCGGAGACGGCTCCGACTTTGCGGGATCTCCTCCGCACTGCGGCTCAACCGAAGCCACGAGTTTCTCGAGACTAGCAAAAGTTAGGGGAGGCAAACTTTCCGCGGTCTGTTAATTGGACAATGAACGAGATGGGAGCGGAATGTTGAAGCTTGGAAGTCAACTGCCGAAGCTAGATGACCTTGCTCACGGTGACTGCTACTCAATGTTCCCTGCATTGATACTCTTAGTTTTGGCACTATCTACAGGGGAGGCTAGCTTGAAGCATTGCCGTCAGAGCGAACATCCTCCGAGTGCACTGACCCCTCATCGTCAGGAAGCTGCTTCTTCAAACCCTCAAGAATACTCTGCAATCCCTCCTTGACCTTGGGATTCACCACTGTTGCGATACGCTGCTCCAGTTCCTCAATCTTGGTCAACAATTCTTTTGTCTTGACATTCATCCCCTCATCTTCCTCGCTACCCTCTTCCTCTTCATCATCGTCTTCCAACCTCTCGAGGCCATCTCCAAAAGCTTCCGCAAACGCTCGAGCCATGTTATGATCCTTGATCGCAAACACAATCTCATCAAGCTGTTCCCACCGCTCCTTGACACCCTTCGATTTATCCTGTCTCGGCATCAAAACCGCCTTCCATAGCCGTGCAATTTCTCCAACTGGATTTCCATGCGCGCCGCAGCCCCAAGCGCCGAGAACCAGACGTTTCGTCTTCTTCATAACAGCGACACGCATGACAGCCCTCATTTTGTTCTGAGCTAACTCGCGATCCTTTTTGTTCGCGTACGTCGCAATACCGTCATTGTCCATCTCGTATTCAGGCGTTCGAATCATAGCAGCAGTGATACAGTCGACATAGAACCGGTCCTTTTTATCCAGATCTTCAGCTTCTTCATCTCTGAAGACCAGCACATTGGGAGTGTAGATAGATGCTAGATCAGGAATGCGGTACCATTCATCCTTGAGAGAAGGGTATAGAGTAGTACGCATGCAGAGTGACTCTTCTTGACTGTTTGCACCGTTGAGGAAACCTCCGCCTGGAGATAGAGGGGAGCCCATGTTAAGAATGGCCACGCGAGCGCGATCATTCTTGAGATCGGCTTTTGTTCCAGATGGGGTTTCTATCTCGAGAAGGTCTCGGGCTGCCTTGAGTGTATCAACCTCTCTGACTAAAATTCTGGGTGGTTTGGCTTCTGCTGAGGGTGGCAGACTGGCCTGACCATCAGACTTTGATGTTGATGAGCGACGACCAGATTTGCCTTTCTTCGCTTGGTCTGTAGTCTTACCGTCTTTTGATGCTTGTGCAGTCTGAAAAGGAATCAACTCCGCTGCGTCGATACCCTGCTGAGCACGGGAATTCCCAGGTAAAAGACTGGGAATGACCTTGTTGATAGTCGCTTTAGCCTTTTTGGAGCGAACGTCTTTGCGGAACGCCGCCGGTGGACGACCAATAGAAGGCTCTGTTCTTCCCATGATAATTTCTCGAGTGAATATCGAACAAAGTGATAAATTGGCACAAAATTGTGTAGATGCTGAGCTTGAGGATGATAATGCCGACTTGCTAAATGGGCACCTTGTGAGCGTGAACCTTGATGAGCAAGGGCCCAAGTTGGGTGAAAAGTATCTACAAAGGTGCTTTTACCCGCAAATCAATTTTAAAAACAGTCAAGTGCTAGGACTGCGACTTTGTCAATTGATGGAAGCATCATGTAGACGTCAATCGGATTGGTAATTATCGCCACATTTGCTGGTGAGAAACTGTATTGGTCACATGACCAGAACAACTCTGTCAACATCAACATCAACACCAAAACGCAAGCCCACGATCAATCTCTCACATGTCTAATTACTGTCAATTTCGGTGACAAAATGTATTGGCCAAAACGAAAGCAATTCGTACGGAAGCGTCGGCCACAGCGTAATGTTTTCCCTTCAACGTTATGATCTTGCTAGCGATGACGTGGAAAGGCACAACTCACATGCATTCACATTCACATGGGCCCAACTCCCTAGTTTATAAACACCACAAACCTCAGCTGAAAAGCATCTGATCAGCCTTACAAACACGTGAGCCTCGGTCGAAATTCCTCATTCCTCAAAAATGTGGGCTGATTAAAGCTGGGATCCACAGTCGGGATTCGTTATGATCGCCAAACCCCGACGGACATTTTAAGCATGATCTAACTGTCAGCTTTAATTTCTAGAATTGACTCTATTGACGCTAGAGCTGTCAAAAACCATGTTTATGTGGACCTTGAGCTGGGAACCGGCGCTTGGAATGTGCGATGTCCGACGTACGGAGGTTATCACATCTGGATATTGTAACGATAGATCTGATTCCTTGCCATGATACCCGAAAGGTCGTAAGGTAACCGGGTATCAATGCCGACTAGACCTCCGATGCCACAAAGTCGCGTGTTTTCATATCCCTGATGCTCGCCGGCCGTCCCGACATCATGGATTCCTCGATCTGCCCATCTTTTATAAAGAGCATGACCTCCCCATCTTGGCTACATCCGTCTCCCTATACGGCATAGCCTCGACCTGAGATCTAGACTGTTACCATGGCTTCTAGAACAGACGTCAGCGACGATGAAACCCTCCGTCAAAAGACCCCAGAGCCGAAACCGAAACAACGATCACTAATAAGTCTCATCTTCGACAACACACGGATTGACATGGCTGTTGAGAACTACGAATATCCAGGATGCGGTACTGTGGAAGATCCATTTGTTATGAGCTGGATTCCAGATGATACAGGGAATCCACTTAATTGGGAGAAGTGGTTGAAGTGGACCATCACCATGGTTTCTGCTGCAACTTCATTTGCTGTTGCGTTCAGTTCAAGTGCTTATACTGGTAAGCTACCTCGTGCTTGGTCATGGAAACCGCTAATATGTTCAGGTACTATCATGCCACTTATGATCCATTTCGAAGCAAGCCAAACACTCGTCACTGCTGGCGTATCATTATACGTGCTCGGCTTCGCAGTTGGACCACTATTCTGGGCACCATTATGCGAAATCTACGGCCGTCAAATCATCTTTGTCATCAGCTATGGCATGTATGTCGTCTTCAGCGCAGCATGCACAGCGGATCACGGAATCGCTACGCTTCTAGTCCTACGATTCTTTTGTGGAACATTCGGTTCATCACCATTGACGAATGCTGGAGGCGTCATCTCAGATGTCTTCAGACCCGACGAGCGTGCTATCGCCATGGCATTCTTCTCTCTTGCACCTTCTCTCGGGCCGACTTTGGGTCCGTTCATTGGCGGATATCTCGCTGAAGGTCAGGGATGGCGATGGGTGAGTCTTGTAACCCTTTATTGTAATTACTTATTAACGATTTCAGGTCATGGGCTTGATGGCCATTATTGCCGGAATATTCTGGATCCTAGACATGTGCTGCGCCCCCGAAACATACGCCCCCTACATCCTTGGCAACCGCGCAGCGATCATGTCCAAAAAGACAGGCAAGGTATACAAGTCGATCTACGAACACCAAGGCAAAGCCGATCCCCCAGCAGTTGTTCTCAAGAAAGCCCTCATACGACCTTGGCTCCTTCTCTTTGTCGAACCCATTGTTCTCCTCCTCTCAACATACATCGCTATTCTGTTCGGCACGCTTTACATGCTCTTCGGCGCGTATCCTGTTGTCTTCCAATTAGAACGGGGTTGGTCCGCTGGTAAAGGCGGTCTGGCTTTCCTTGGTGTTGCAGTCGGAATGATTGGTGCTATTCCAGTTATCGGACTTATGAATATTTGGTACATGAAGCAAGCAGCCAAGTACAAGGGAGAGCCGGTTCCTCCGGAGAATCGACTTCCTGGATGTATGCTTGGAGGAATCTGCGTACCGGTAGGAATGTTCTGGTTCGCATGGTAAGTGCACATACTCTCCACCTCCCAGAACTCAACTAACCATCTTTAGGACTTCATATCCTGACGTACATTGGATGGCACCAGTAGCCGCTGGTGTTCCCTTCGGCTTAGGCATGGCCCTGGTATTCAACAGCATCTTCAACTATCTCATCGACTCATACACCATCTACGCCGCCTCAGTTCTCGCTTCTAATGCAGTATTACGATCGATGTTTGGCGCGGCCTTTCCGTTATTCACGAAGCAAATGTACGACAAGCTAGGCACACAATGGGCTAGCACCGTCCCTGCCTTTCTGTCTCTTGCGTGTTTGCCAATGCCTTTCATCTTCTACAAGTATGGACCTGCGATCAGACAACGTTGCAAGTACTCTGCGAAGGCAGCGCAAGCAACAGCTATGGCGACGAAGGGTTGATAGTTTGGACAGGAACGGGTATGTGATGGTCATATAGAGTAATATTTGGATTTTTGGAAAAACGGCGTTTGGTAACCATAGAATAAGAAAGATCTCTATAGACGCTACAAGAAATGGTCATAAAACATTAATGTTATACACTTCAAGACTCTCCCACGCTTCCTTTACCGGAAGACCGCCTCTTAATCCCTTGCACCTGATCTTCCAATGCAATCCCCATCAACGGTCGCCCCTCTTCAGAGACCGCGTTCGTATACCCGTACTTGAACTTTTGTTGTCCGATCATCTTTGTCACATCAAGAGCTTCCTTCTCTCCAGCATCTACTGGGAGGTTAAGGTACTTGGAATCACGCACTGCAGACGAAGCATAACCCAGAATCTCTGGCCCAGCAGCCAAGTGAGCAAAAACAACTCCGACAATACCACTCCCGAGAAGAACACCACAGCATGCAAAGAACAAAGCCATCCAGTTCCAGTGCACGACGTAAATCTCCTCAAGATTGCTCACGTCCACAGGAACAGTGACGTTGGGGGCAAAGTTTGCGATTGCGTCGCTGTTGCCTTGTGAGGCATACTGATTCAACTGACCGAGGAGAACATATGTGTTGATGAGCTGTGATAGTCGACGTCCGAATTGCTCTTTGGTGACATTCCTCAGCATATCTGCATCTTCCTCTGGCTCACCCACCGCAAAGCTCCTAACCCCAGGGTCATTGAGATACCTGATCGTGTTATCAGCGTAGCTCTGTTGTTTAACACCCTCAGGAAGACCACGAGTCACCCAGCCCCAGATGTCAGGGAAGGAAATCGAAGTCACCCCCTCGTCAGCGTGGGGCTGTCTTGAAAAACGTTGTTGAGTAACAGTGCAGTTCTGCGGAGATGAAGAGCCTTCGCGAGAGCAAGCTACGCGAGATTCAACATAGCGCTGATAAACACTGCAAATCGCTTCGACTCGCATGCTTGGAACATATTGCCAAGGTGATGTTCGAAATGAAGATTCGAAGACAAGCTGTGCGGGCCTCACATGCAGATCAGTCTCGTTGATAAGAAGACTCGGTCGTGAGCAATCCTTCTTCTCTCCGACTGAAGGGCATCGGTCGTTGACGTCCCAGTACTCATCGACGAAACGATCAACCCCAATACTCCAAACTGTCTGTAGGTACGTGCTATTGAGCCCATGCCATGTCCCATTCCGAAGTCTGATGGAACCGTTGTTGGTACCGCCCATATGAGGATCCCATTCGTACTCTTGTGCATCGAAGACTGAGATGTTGTAGTTGAGTTTGCAGTCTAGATCGATGTAGCTTGATTCTAGAGAAAATGTGGTGTTACCTTGGGTCACATTGGTAACTGGTAGTCCAACGAGTGAGGAGTAGGAATCCGGTTCAGAGTTCCAAGAAGAAACGTTCTTCCATCCCTTGTCATCGCCATCAACCTCAAGCTTCGGGATCTTAACATTGCCCCATAAATCCATAGCGTTACTCTTGGCTGATGGTGGAGCAAGTAGTAGAGCGCTATACATGGTCTGCATATACGCCTGCGTAGATCGATACGAATCGATCTCGCTTCGAGAATTTCTGAGCTCAGCACTCCTAAACACCGAGGGCGCATCTGTGGTGTAATAAAGAACGCTGGAATTCGCATGTATTGGCTCAAGTCTTGTGCGAAGCATTCGGAGAGCGGACTGTGAGCCTAGTGGTGATAGTGACCAAAGGATGAGAAGCGCGACGCCTAGGAAGTTGAATCTTCCGAGACTGATCTGCGTTACGAGAGTTGAGCCCACTGTGCGGCTACCGATGAGCTGTTCAAGAAGATTGAGAGTTGCGCCTTTTTCGAGATTCCAGCGCGCGGCTTGGAAGACCATTCTGCTTGCGACTGATGCGAAGAGAATTGGAAATATTGAAGCTATCTGTAATTTTATCAGTCACCTCGTTCAGGTGGATAAATTCACAGGGAAAACTGACCACAGTGATCGCATTGTTCCATTTCGCCAACACCTCTTTCTCGACAGTCTTCTTGTCTAGACACATGACTGCTACGGTAAATCCCAAAGCAGCAGCAGGTAGAAGTGTCAGACTAAGATCCGCGAATAGTGTCCCAGGCATAAAATGCCTTTTCGTATTGTTTCCGCTGTGCAGGCCATCTTTTGGTATGGTAGATTCATGACCCAAGAATCTCGTTTCAGGGCTGTTTATGCCCTTTGCCTCATTCCCACGATCGGGCGCTCTGAGGCTAGATGACGAGGAATTATCAGCCAAATAAGAATGGTGAAACTGTCGGTCATAAGAGTTGGCCATGTTGTCTGAGACCCACGAAGGTCATGGCCAGATGATGATGAATGTGCGAGGAATTAAAGCTCGTATCATCAATAATGAGGAGTAACCGCCCTGTTAATAAGAGGGCGTTTCATGTAGAATGATGAGATGATCAACGTGGCGGGGCACCTTTATTCTAGGCGCTGCAGCATTGATACGACCAATTGTATGGCCAAAAGCGTTTCTAGGCGCCCTGAAGGATTCCATCTGTAACATCATTTCTTATCCTGGTCAGATAACCCGCTCGGTTGATGGGCTGGGCGCTTACATGGAGTAGGGTTGCTAGACCAATGGGAAAATTGTTAGTGCGGCTTGTTGAACAGCCGGAGGCTATGAAAAGACAACAACCAACAGGTTTATGATGTTCACATGGAAATTCCATGTTCAAGAACAAAGTGAAAGAAATGCCTTAAACGCATCACAAGAGTGCACGGAATCTGAGAGAACGGACTAATTTCTTTCCGTAGGTAGTAAACCATAGGCTGAGAATATAGTGTGCGTTCAGGAGCCAACCATGAATACCATAGATAATATGTTCTTTCCCGCTCATCAAACAATGATGCGCTCTTGCATTCAGAATTACTTCAAACAGCATCTAATAAGCGATTCGTCGAGACAGTAGCGGAATTCCATAACGAGAATATCGCATCATTAAAATATCATGTCAGCATTTAGGGCTGAGGTGTCAGACTCGGCTCAGACTGGCTTAAGTATAAATTCTTATGCCTTGCCTCTGGATAGATTACACCAGGGCAATTCTCCTTTTCTTACAAGTCATTGTCAATATGTCGGAAACAGCGCCTATCCCCATCATCCTCTGCGGAAAGACAGAGTTTATCGGCCAGCGCGTTATCGAAGCTGTAAAACCCGAAATTGAAGGTCAGAAAAAGTCACAATAGTGAACCTTCCAATCTCTAACAATCTCAGTCGTTCACTTCGTCTTGCCCGGAGAATCAGGAAAGATCATCATCCCCGAACTACTTCGCGGAAACCATCCTCCGCCGCATCCCGAGGCCAGCACCATAGGCTCAGGAAACTACGCTCAAGTGCCCTGTGCGATAGTTTTGGGTGGTGCCTTTGAGGATGCAGATATAGCCGCTTTGCGCGATGCTGTGAAATCCGTTGATGGAGTGCGCGGTGTCGCGTGGGTGCGACAGGATACTACCCAGCCTGCACCTCCGGTTACGTCGCCTGAGTACCCTAAGCTTATGACCAAGAGAACGAAGGAAGCAATTATCCAGTTGCATAAGGATGGGAAGTTGGATGGAAGCCGAGATGAGATTGAATGGTATTAGGTGGATCAAGTCTCTATACAGAAGAGACTGTCCGTAGGCTGTCTAGTAACAAGGTAAAGCTTGAAAAATGCAATAAAACAAAACTTAGACAAGATGGTTTTCCAAATCGTGTTCCAGGAGACTGAACATAAAAGAATTCCAGAACTACCCCTCCTTGATTGCCTTCTCTTCTTTCGCCTCCTTGCACTTCCCGCCAATTTGATACTTCGACCCCAGGCTCTTCATGCTACTCACACTCTGTGCTTTCTTGTTGGCCATACCCGTCTTCCAACTCGTCATTGTCGAATTATAACCCTTCCCAGCACGATCCACGCCATCGCTAATGCTCCTGTCCAGCGCACTCATTTTAGCCATGGTACTTTCCTCAAACACCCTTCTTGAATTGTCCATTTTCTCTGTCGAGTTGTTGATGAAGTCTGTCCAGGCTTTGTTCTTTCTGTCGATAGCTTCGTTAAATTTGTTGACGTGCCGCTTGTAGCAGAACTTGTTCAGAGACTTTGAATCGGTGGATGTGGAGGAGACACTTTCTCTTCGCTGGTCCGGTGTACTGTTGGAATTATGTAACGGGTTGCCGTCTGGCTGGACAACCTCTTTTTCCGGTTCATATTGGCCGTGTTGGCCATTTGGGTTGTAGAGTTGCTTCTCATCATGTCCATCGTGAAGCGTCAAGTTATGAACCTCCTTCTCAACCCCATCATAAACTTTCTTCCCCACATCCGCTACATAAACCTCTTTATCATCACGAGTCGTAGTCCCATCATAAACTTGCTTCTCATCAGAAAAATCGGTCTTTTCTACAACCTCCTTCGCCTCGGATACATCAGGAAGGCGGTGAACCTCTTTGTGCGTATCCTCCCCGCGGCGGGCAAGGCTATTTGTCGTAGTGGGTATTATTGGTGTCGGGGGGGTCAAGACGATTTGAACGGGATTGCTCGCCGAAGCAGCTGCCACCTCAACTGGAGCATCATTCTTGCTGTCGACTGATTGAGACATATCGTTTGCGAACACGTTTTGTTTGATCACATTTCCATGAAATTAAAAGTCAAGTTTTAAGGGACCCCGCTACGTCATTTTAGTTTGAGGCTAGGGGCGCAGCGTAAGCAGAAGGATCATGATCCTTGTCTATGTCGATAAGATAAGGTGAGTAGTTGCTATTGGGATGGTCACTTTATAGCATAGAGAGAAAAGAAAGTGAAGCCCTTTGTTTGGTAAGATGCCGCTAGAATCACCCTTCGAGGGGTGTTTAGAGCCGACAGTGTGTTTCGGGCTTGGTGTGAAATGATGACGAGTAGGATGTACTGAGTTTGGTTCTCTGCCACTTTATGTTGCTCTAGGGTATCATCGTAGATGGCGTCCATCCTCTTGAACTGCCTGTCGACCGACCAGTGTTCAACTTTGCTAGTAAAAAAACTTTGATTATTGTTATTTCGAAGCCTCGTAAGCCAGGTTTCTCCAGTTTGATCACGGCGTGTTGATTCCCCGTCGAGCAATACGTAGTTGATGGAATGTGTGGCAACACCGTTGAATATGACAACGTGACTTTCAAAGATATCATAAGAAAGATGAGCCAACAAAGGTTGATGGCTGGGCTATGCTAGTAGAGTAGATAGAGAAAAGAGGGTACTCCAAAAGAAACATGTGTTTGGCTTCAGAAAGTAATCTATAACGGACAAACCAAGACACCGAGGACGTCGTTCGTGAGCACAGTGCCGAACCCGCTCAGCTTGATAATCATAACCATACAGGATATCCTTTTCAACAAGTCAGTTTTATAATATATTGCGGACCTGGAGGCCGTGGTCGAATAGCGGCAATGGCGGCATCTATGCGGCATGTGGCCTCTGATGTCAAGTCGGAACGCTCAGTAAGCACGCCCGACTCGCACTAAACTTGGACTAACATGGACTAGCATACAGCTATTCATCAAATTGGTAGCCAATTGAAGTTAAAAATGGCAAAAGGGCTCAATTTAATAGCCTTGCGATACGGTAGGTGTGGAGATTGAAGGGTGAGCAAGGCTCAGGGGAAGGTCTGTCTTATCGTCTACAAAGACACTGGTTGGGTGATTACGAAGACCCCCAGCTACGAATTGAGTTTGTCTTTGGCTAAGTCTTTTGCCTTCTTGTCATCATACTAGTCTCATTTATCTGTATATAAATCGCATCGGTAGGTCTCGGCAAATTCGTAATCATTTGTTCACATGCCTCTTCCCAAACACTCGCATACTTGCGACTCCTTTAAACCTTTGATATACCAGACCATTCCGGTGCAATGGGTTTCCGTCGCTCTGTTGGGGTTCTTCTACCCTTCGCGTTGGCGATCGCAGCTAGCATTTTTGTCCTCGTTCCTACTCTTGCCGGAGTGACAGACAAGTCACTATACGTCTTCAAACTCAACTTCGAAAACCTCTCTATCAGCCCCGTAAGCGATCTGATAGACCACATCGACATCCATTCAGGGCTAAGCAACAAGAACAATCGCCATATCCGAGCGAAAACGGTCGATAAGAATATCACAGCCGACTTGCTCGGTCTGGAAAAGGCATACGACATCACACTCTGGGGCTACTGCCATACGGACAAAGATAAGAAACGAGAGTGCTCAAAGCCCGCATTTAACTGGGTGAAAAAGAATGTCTCAATGGATTCCTTCAAAAGCACAGATGAGGATATAGTGGCCAAGCTGCCAAAGGAGATCAACAAAGCTATTGAGACCTTTGGCACATTGACAAAAGCGACTGAAGTTGCCTTCATTGTTGCTCTGCTGGAGCTTGCCATCCAGATCGCCCTTGGAGTATTCGCAATATGCTCCCGAGAGCTTACCTGCTGGACGTGGATGATCTCTGGCTTTGCCTTCGCTTTCACTCTTGCCGCTGCGGTCCTATCAACCATCATGGCTTCATTTGCGGTAGGGGCAGCTGAGACGACTACGAAAGTGTACGGAGTAAAGGCGGAAGTCAATACTGTATTCTTGGCCATCATTTGGATCGGCGCTGCTTTTGCGATAGCCGCCAACTTGCTTTGGATATTGCCGACGCTTTGCTGTGCACCAAAACAGAGGAGCAGCGAAGACTCCAAAAGCTTGCTTACTGGAAGTCGTCACGGTGCTTATGTCCCTGTTCATGATGATCATGAGATGCATGGCACGTATCATAGCGGAGGCCTTGCGTCTTCTTCGTCTGAGGGTAATCGTACCGATCTTGCTTATGAGCCGTATAGCCATCATGCATGATTGTCGATCATATGGGATCTAACATTGAGGGATACCGAGATGCGGATACCGGATTGTTTTTGCTTGTACTTGCAAGAACTTCGACCTACGAAGTGTCAAGACCACCAACGGACGAGCTTATTCAATAGATAGTTAGACAATATATGATCGAGTGAATCATCAACCTCACTTCCCATTATACAGAGTGAAAACGCGACCGTAGATAATTTAAGTGAAATAGACAAGTATCCACAGACACGAGCAGAAGAATGGAGCCCGAGAAGAACTCTGGGGCCTCCCGTCGTCGCAGGGGTAGTCGAAGTCTGAGTAAGCCAATATTTTGAAGAAGCATACTCGGATTCGCTCCTTTCACTGCAAAAGCTCTTGACGGCCACTAGCGGAGGAAACTATAGCATTGCAGCATAGACTTTCCTCGTATTCAGTTTACTGCAGTCATCTTTGTGGGGCCGCCGGCGACCTAAAGGGCTGAACCTATGGGTCATGTAAGCGGGCTACGGAGCATGGCAAAGCCAGCAATTATTGCAGACTGCCAAAAGTCCATCTAGATACGGCAGGTCAATTAGAACAACAGCATCGGTGAGAGTGGAAGATATAGCTTCTATAAATTGTCGTCTATTTTCTTTCATTCAAGAACTTCAACCTCAAGCTATTTCAATACCAATTCTGCTGACTTTGCAAACGCGCCATCATCAATCATGAAGACTACTTCCTTGCTCGCCGCTGCCCTCGCGGCCTACACCGCCAGTGCTGAAACCGTCTATCTCGTCAATTCCTTCAAAGGCAGCGAGACCTCCAGCGGCATGGCATACTACGACAACAATCACTCCTCGGGGAACCAGGCTCAACCTCAGGACTATACCGACGTTGTCCACGGAAGAAATGTTCACTGGGAAGGCGCGACAGTTAAGGGTGAGTATGCCCCCCGTACCAAGGAGCTTGGCTAACAAGGACAAGGCACTTTCGGCAGCGGCGTCACCTTCACCTCCAATATCGTTGCCGACGCAGGCAGCAAGGAAATTAATCAGTGGTCTGGCTCTGGAAGTAACGGTTTCAAGGACTTTACTTGCTGGAAAGCTGGTAGTCCACGAGGCAAACCTTTCTTGATGTACAAGGTGGATGGTTGGGAAGTCTATCCCATCTATTTCTGCAGGAACAGCAACTAATTCATTTGTTGACAAGTCTTTTTACAGCTGGAAGTTCTTAGCGGGGAGATTTAGTCGAAAGAATTGAAGTTTGGCCGAGAGACATCTAAGATGAGTTGTCTATATCGCTAGTGAGACATGGTCATCATCTTGTGCTCCCTACTGACAATCTTGCCCAATATTATTTTGACAATATCATATATCCCAAATTACCATCGCTGATCTTGTTATCGATCCCCCTTCAAGTTTCCATGGCTAATCTCCACCAGTAGCCATTTCAAGCCGTGGAGTAAGGTGTCGTAACAGCCAGAAATAATTTTCACCTTCAACGAACCGACATGTCGCACCATCAGCCGCATGTGCCGATGTGGAAATTGCGAAGTGAAAGGTGAAAACACAAACAAATATGTTGGCGTCGCTATCGAACACTCTAGTGGCCCAAATAGTTGAGACTGACTTGTCTCAATTGAGCCATGAGGAATGTGTTGCGGAACACTTGGCACGTATCCCTTGAAGAATACGAGATGCTACATGGAGTTGTTTTTGAAGGGTTAGCGTGGCTAAGATGTCTGCGGGGGAGGAATGTTGTTGATGTTGACATCTGGATTAGTCTCCAGAAGCTCCCTTGCGAGTTGAGCCGAAGAGCAGGATAAAAACCTTCTTCTTCCTGAATAGCTTCATACTCATCATTCTCAAACATTCAGCTTCCTTCACTTGGACCTCTAAAGAAAAAAAAAACATTTGTTAATCTTCACAATGCTGTCCAACACCGGATCCCTCGTTTTCGGCCTCCTTAGCGTTGCCCAGCTCGTCAGCGCAACCCCCTCCGACACAGCTGTCGCTGTCTCATCTCCCATCTACCCAACCGCCACCGACATGATCCCCCCTCCCGCTTCCACTGGCACTGGGATCAAGCCTGCTCCTCCTGTCTCCACAGATGACTGCCTCGCCAAGTGCGAGGACGCTCGCAGCAAGTGCAGCACCGCTCCTGATGCCAACCAGGCTACCTGCGCTGCTGCATTTGCTGACTGTGTCGGCTACTACCCCTACAACACCGAAGGCAACTTTGTTCCTCCTACCGCTTGCTCTTCCGCTACAACTCTCGCTTCCACTGTGAAGCCCACTGAGCCTGCCAAGCCTACCGAGGGGAAGCCCACTGGTGAGGTCAAGCCCACTGAGGAGAAGCCTACCGGCGAGGTCAAGCCCAAGCCTACCGGTGAGGTTAAGCCTGAGCCCACTGAGACTGCTGTTATTGTCAGCGGTGCTGGACATGTCTCTTCTGGTCAGGTCGTTGGTCTCCTCGGCGCTGTCGGTATCGCTGCTCTCGCTTTCCTCTAAGCGCACACATGTTGTTGAAGTAGTGGAAGTTTGGACTAGTCTTAATTTCATAATAACGAGAGCCTCTCCGGAAGCTTGATCAATAGCAATTTTATTCTCTCCATGATAATCCTTTTATGCTCAGAAGTCCTCTGCTGTCAAACCAACATTCTTAACCTTTGCCAATCTCAACAACTCTTGACCGATGGACAAATCCATTACACCAGTTCCGACACTCTTGTAAATTACAAAGCCATCCTCGAGCCATTTGTTAAGATTCTCAGGGTCTTCTGCCTTCTTAGTCTGGAACAACTGACCAATCTCGAGCATCTTCTCCGTAGGTACCTCGGCCTTGACCAGCTCTCCAGCTTCTTGTAAACACCCATCGCGGCTGTCGACAGCAACAGATCCGCGATATCCAACTTCGGCGAAAGGACCGGAAGGATCGATGACTTGCTTTAGTAGCTCGGGATCAATTTCTTGCATGTCAAGACGGTATGAGCCAATCGCTGCGAGGTAGCGAGTCTTGCTTCGTGCTTTTTCGGATGTGAGATAAGATCCAGGGAAGACAGGCTCCAAGCTAGGTGTTGTGAAGAACAGCACATCTGCGTCAACGACAAGAGACTCGAGGGCTGCGTCACGGTCCTCCTTGGGATCAAAGACTTGTAGGCTGATGTGAGATGGCCATGGCGATTGCTTATTTCCTTTTAGCGTCTCGACCAATTGATGCGCACGCTGGGAAGAACGGTTAATAATTGTCACAGACTTGATGTCCTTCTCCTTCAGCAGAAGTGCCAGGCGAATATGCCACATAGCCTGTGCGCCCGCACCAAACACAGCAATATTTTGAGTGTTGCGCCTAAATCTATAGGGCAGCATTGATCCCAGCGCTGTTCGAAATGCCGTCAGAGCAGCCGCATTCAAGGTACCGATAGCATGACCTCTGGCATCGCAAAGCGTCAAAACACTCTTGAGTCCAGCTTCCGAGGGCTTCAGCTTTTCGCTCGGGGTAATGCCGACGATCTTGACACCCAGCAATTGATCCGTGGTGCCGGGCATGAATAAACTGACTTGCCCATCGCGGTTGACGACTGCGCGGTGAGGCTGATATTGTTGCTCATTGTTGCATGAGTACTGGGTGAGTGCCTTTTCCAGGGCGTTGGCTAAATCGGTTACATCTGTTGGCGATAGCGTGTCGAGGATGTGGTTGACATTTGCGTCGGAAAGAACGGTAAAAGGCATCTTGTCTATATGTTGGATTGTTCTGTAGCCTTTGGAGTGAAATATGACAGAGGAAGCGTTGAGGAATGAGATAGAAACAAGAGGTTGTCCTTCAAACATCGGCCGTTATCGGCCATAGTCGGCTTTGGGGCTGACGCGGGGGAGCGCGGGGCAGCGGCCGGAATCGCTTCCCTCTTTCGATTGCCTGAGCTGAACCATGAGACCTGGGCGGGGAATAAAATCGCAGTCAAGGCGAGGGTACAATGACCGTACAGCCACCGAATTTAATTGCCTAATAATCACTTTATCTCCCTCGGTCACTCAGTACGGGTGCACAAGCTACCATGACGTCAACCTTCAAAAAGGTTAACGATCAATTGTATCCATAAACACGTTGTAACTCATCCAGCTGTCTCTTCAAAGGCCAAAAATACCAGATTCCCAAACACGAAAGATTCTCATCCACGATAATAATATCACAATGTGGCCGAGGTTCCCCACAACTCATGTTCTCTACAAATATCCGCTCTCCGTAACGTCGCATTGCTTGTTCGAGACTTCAAGATGAACATTCATCTATCTCACGGACAAGGACTTTTGCTGAGAGAGACAAAATGAAGCTTTGAGAACGGGTTTGAATCGTAAAGAGACCCTAAAGTCTTCAGCCTCGTGGCACTACCGTATCTCGTGGTTCAGGCTTGTGACGGTGATTGTTGGTTGCCAAAGCTTCGAGGGTATCCTGGCCATGTTTTGGGGGAACGTCAGCTACGTATGGTAAGAGCTCGCGCGGCCACCCACACTGAGAAGCAGTCCGAGCTGGATTTTGGAAGATGACCAACTTACGCTGACGTTACCTGTCTTGTTTCCATGAAAAGATCTCCATTTGTCTTCCCGCCATCCTCAAGTCCGCACTACCCAAATTCGTAGAGACAAGGGTCTGTGAACGATTACAATGAAAAGCATCATTTGGAGTAATGAAGATGTGGAGGGCTGTATTCAATATGATCAGATGGTAGTTTGTTGTGCGAAGGGGAAGATCTGCTCTGTGTGACCTGCGCTGAAGCCAAATATTGTGCTTTCGATGTCTCTCGAAATCGGGACATGAATCGGGATCCGTACACTGTGCTGTCTACGGGACCTTCCTACCCATCTCCATTTCGTCACTATCGGCATGCGGTAAAAAGGATCAAGAAAAGCACAAAGGCTTCGATCGATATGCAAACGCATTAACCTGTTGTGGAAGTATTCATAGCGTAACAACGGGGAATCAAGGCGAAGTGTTGTAATGCATATCTTTTCATGTCTAAGGTGAAGCTTAGGCCCAATGAGATGATGGTTCCCAACTCCTGCAACAAACACATCAGGACGTAGAAGGCAGCAATTTTGCTGTCGGATATGCTATGGACGACATGGGATGCTTCGACCATGGTTTGCTACTGCTTAACACTCTCATCTCAAACAACTTAAACCTTTCCCCACCATTCCCTCATACAATCAGGTACTTATGATCAAACTTCCATCTTCATCCTCAAGGTTCCACCTCACACGAGCCATCTGGTCAATTCTCTTCACCTCCCACTGCGCAGCAGCGACCTTACTGCGGCTGTGTCCGACAGCCTCCAAGGCATCCTGAAGACGAACTTCGAGCTTTTCAATCATCTTGTTTACTCTGCTCATAGCGATGCTGTCCCTTGTCTGAGGGCCCTCCACGTTGAATGCATCAGCGAGGTCGTCTCGAATCTCAACAGCATTCTCCTTTCTAGCCATCGCCTTGGCCAACTCCTCTTCTGCGTGAGAAAGTTCCTCCTTCGCCTGTTCCAGTTTCTCATAGGCCTGCGTCTCACTTCGATCAATCGAATCCGTTGTCGACTGCATCATGTTCTTCCATACCCGATGCTCTTCTTTCTCAATCATCTCCTTCAAACCACAACGGAGCTTCGAATCTTCTTCGTCCAGACCAAAGTTTTGGTCGCTTTTGATCAGACGGACGAGGTTATTACGCTCGGCGCCGGAACTGGTCACTTCAGTGGCTGGATTGAACTGAAGGAAGTTGCGTAGTTCTGAGAGGACATAGATACCAGTGAGGTCTCCCGGTTGAGTGCAAGCCTGGGGAAGATATCAGCATGAGGGCGGGCAAGGGGAGAAAGGGAAAACAAACCGCTTTTTTGAAAATGACGTGATAGTCGAGTTCAGACTTCTCAATCCATTTGCGGAAATGAGCGCACACAGCCATGAAGCGCTCTTCGTTCTGCAGCGAGTCGTAGTGGTAGACGTTTATCCACTTTGGTTCCGAATGTCTTAGTAATGCCACACAAAGTGTTCAGTGGCCGTTTTGGTAAACGGGAAAGGCAAGTTGGCTAGCATCGTCGAAACCTTCGGGCTTCAACTCGCTTGTGTTGTCACTCGTGTTCAGCCAAAGGGGATCAAGTAAGATCACCGCATAGGTAGGTGAGTAGCAAGACTTGATAATCTTGCCGAAAAGTCGAAGTGCGTTTGCGGTGAGCCTTTTATCAGAAATCAGCTGTTGGCAAATGTTTTCAAGCTCGCCTTGCATTGATATTGAGACTGTGCTGGTCTCATCTGGGCGATCGACTCGCTTAGGTTGGAGGGACTCCATTAAAGAGTCGCCCGATCTCTTTCGGTTAATGGACTGCTTTTCTTGATGGTTTGTCTCGTCAAATGATGAGGCTGAAGGCTCCATGTTCGCTTCTTGGTGATGCAGAAAATGAGGCTGAAAGACGCAACTTCGCAGTGGAGATGAGAGGGAGAAAATGATGAGAGAGAAAGAGAGAGAAAGAGGGCAAGGCAACCAGTGACACGGGCCTCAAGATATCGGACGAATCGGTGCCTCGGTGCCTCGGTGCCTAGAGGCATAAGAGACGAAACGGTTTATTCACTTTATGCAACCAGGTGGGGTAACAACAGCCGCGATAGTTTGCATCCGTGTTTTTGAATCTTTGCGGCTGCTGCAGCACTGGCAGACGTTGGGAAAGGCAATTTTACAATAGCAACTCCCCTTCTTTAAGTGCATTGACAGTTAACCTGCTATTCAAATTGAGGGAGGTTTCAACATCAGGTTAATGGAAAGATAGTAAAACAAGAATAGCCTAAATTCAACATATCATTACATACTCACGATATCACCGTACACTGACTTGTGAGAAAAGGGGGGCGGGTCAATCGGTATGCGAAACATAACCGCACTGTGCCATTCAGCCGCATACAAGCCCATTATAGGCAAGTGTAACTTCATTTTCTAGCACATACGACCATAGCTCGTAGAAAACACGGGATCCCGTCCGCTCTCCC